CTGGCACTCTGAGCTCATCTCCTTTGCATGCCAGGACTGGGATTGCTGGATTTTATGCCACATTTCTCTTTACACAGCAAAGATGACTTCTTCTTTACCTCTTCTTCAGGACGCAACGTGAGAGACAGTGACTTAACATCAAGAGTAGATTCCACTTTATTTTTTCTCCCTTCTCTCTTCCATCCTACCCTCCTGCCTCTATTTTTGAAGGTATTGGGGATTGTCAAGATGTTATCTTTTTCTTTGCAAATCAAAAGTAAAGGCTTACCTTGATTCTGTTGGTTATTTTATTGTGAATAAATAACCACAGAGAAAACAACTATGATCTTTTGTGTGTGAGTGTGCAAAATGTTTCCAAGTTTCACGTGATGTCGTAACGCCAGAATCTGAGCATGGCATGGCTGGGGAACCGCTCTGCCAGCGTGCCCATGCCAGCCAAACTCCCCCTTGTACTCGCACAGTTTTATGACTGGAGGGGGGGACTTTAGCAGTGGGCGAGCCTGTCAGTGACTCACAGCTGGCTTTGCTTTAACACACTGGTAACTTGCCGTCATACCTGAACCATGTACTGAAGAGTACAGCTAAGCTTCTCACTAGGTCTTGGGCATGTAAACTCTCCGAGACTGGGTTTTCTCATCTATATATTTTCGAGCATAGTAAGTAATATATTTATAGTGCTTAGTATACAATAAAACTCCAATGTATGTTGATTGACTGAATCTATCTTATTTACTTATTTATTTATTTTTTTGAGACAGCTTCTCACCATCACCCAGGTTAAAGTGCAGTGATATGATTATAGCTCACTGTAGCCTCCAACTCCTGGACTCAGAAGATCCTCCCAAGTGGCTGGGACTATGGCACATGCCGCCGTGCCTGGTTAATTCACATTTACTTTAAAATACCAACCAAAGACAAGTCCCTGGCTCAAATTTAGGAGGCAACAAAAGACACACGGCCTTCCATGGAGTGTGAGCCAACAGGATGGACGCTGAGTCCAGGTTGTTATTGAACGAATCTTTTGCCCTTAGGTACCTTGCGTCTTATGAATGTATAAATCCCAACTCGGTGGCAGGTAGGATGCTTTTGTCAGTCATCTACCCTATAAAAACATCACTGGAGACAGAAACACTCTGCTCCAGAGTGAGGAAGTCATGACCATCCAGGACCGATCACCTATTTGGAACAACCACTAGGGTGAAGGAAATGGAGTCCTCATCGGGCAGCACGTCCGTCTGGAACTAATCCTGGGACATTGAGGATAAAAAGGATGGGTTTTCATATGTCATTTGGCAAGGGGTAGAGTGTACCCAGCCCCAGGGGATGCTAAGTCAAACTCAGCAGAGCAGAGCTGCGTGTGACCCTGGGGCCTCCACAGTCTGCTAAGTCAAACTCAGCAGAGCAGAGCTGCGTGTGACCCTGCCTGGGGTCTCCATGGTCTGCTGGAGACCTGGGGCCTCCATGATCTGCTAAGTCAAACTCAGCAGAGCAGAGCTGCGTGTGACCCTGGGGCCTCCACAGTCTGCTAAGTCAAACTCAGCAGAGCAGAGGTGCGTGGGACCCTGCCCGGGGCCTCCACGGTCTCATCTGTTTCTGTCATGTACTGATAACGGCAGTTCCATCAAGCATTGCTATGAGGATGAGGGAGGCCATATATGACTATTTTGCCAATGTTTGTCATTGTCACGGAAAGTATAGATAAGGAACCTTCTTAAATGACACTCAAAATCCCTTAAAATCTTTCACCTCCCAGAATAAAAAACTCCTTAAGTAGTTACTGGTATAGCACTGACAAAATACATTACAATGCATTAAAAACAATGGAGTAGTATTCCACCGTGACAA